ATAAAACAAAATGTGCTTAATTATGTACCTCGCATGGATCAAATTAATTTTTTTTATATATATTTTTATTTTTTGTCTATCTTATTGATGTCTTAATATTAATTTATATTTACTTTTTTATTTAACATGAAATTATTTATTACAAAATATTTATATTTAATTTAAATTTTATATACCTATATACAATATGTATGAATAACTTAAAAATAATATTAAAGAAAAAAATCAATACTTTACATATTTAATTTATTTATTTTCTTCTTAATCCAATCATAACATATTTATATTTAACCTTTTAAATAAATTTTGTTTAGTTCTATTTCTACATATTTTTATTTTCTAAATAAAAATAAAAATAAATCATTAGAATCACTTTGGGACTATTGTAATGGTTGAGTATGCCTTGAGAATGGAAGTTTATTTTAGCATTGTACATGTTAAATATGATGTAGAAATGCAAGTATGTTATGAACATTGAATATGTTATTGGATTGTGGAATATATATGTTGAAATTGGTGAATTTCAAAGAGATGCATGTTGATAATACATGTTGTATCATATTGTGAATTGCCTCTTGAAAAGAGATGGGATGACCGGTAATGGGTCAAGTTGTTGAATATTGAATTGTAACATTGTTGGGAATTGAGAAATCATGTTTTTGACACTTATAACTAATTTCGGGGACGAAATTCTTTAAGGGGGGGAAAGTTATAGCGATCCGGTTTTCCCTCCATTAGTTGTTGTATTCCAGACTTAGGTTTCGTGGTGTTGGTTTGGTGTATATCTTGTTTTCGTCCTTTAATTCCTTGCATTTGAATTTTGGGATATATTGGGCAGGTGTGTTACAGGTTGGTAGTAAGTTTAAACCCATAGTTGCTGCCCAGATTTTTGCTTCTTCGCTCGAGCGAGGCTTTTGTCGCTCGAGCGAGCTCTGTGTTTTGGTTCCTTTGCTCGAGCGAGAGTTGAGTGTTGTGTCTGGTAGCTCGAGCGAGAAGTCTTGCGCTCGAGCTTGCGTCTGCGTCTAGTTTTGGACCTGAAGGTTGCATTTCTTGGCTCGAACGAGCTTTCCTTCGCTCGAGCGAGTGAGGACTATGTTTTGGGTTTCTTCGCTCGAGCAAGATTTTCTTCGCTCGAGCGTGCTTCTGGGTTGCAGACCTGAAATTTCGAATTGTTGGCTCGAGCGAGGCTTTGTGCGCTCGAGCGAGGTCTCTTTGTGTTTGGTCGCTCGAGCGACCACTCCTTCGCTCGAGCGAGCTTCGAATATATCAGTTGACAGCAGCGGGTTAAACATCATTTTTTTCATCTCTATTATCTTTAAACCCTAGATACGGATGCTCCCTCTCTTTCTACATACCTTATCTCTACAAATCCATCTAGTTTTAGTGGTCTCCTACCCTAATCCCTTTGTAAAAAAGGTGGAGCTTGGTGTGGGCTACATTTTGATCCGAAAATCTTTGAGTTTGGAGCATCTCAAGTTTTCATCATCTTCTCCATTAGGTCTCTTCTCTTGAGGTAGGGATAACCTACTCCTTTCTATGGGTTTTGACATAGATATTATGTGTTTTGTATAAATGGTGGATTATGGTGATTTTGAGAAAGTTAGGGTTTGATTTGTAATTTATAAAAAGGGGGTTTTCAAATGTTAAACTCCATGTGTATGTGAGACCTTGGAAAATGGAATTATTGTTGTGAAATTGATGAAATTGAACCTTAGGGTTGATATTTGAAAAAGGGGGAAATGTCTTAATTAATGTGATAAATTAATTTGCATAATTAATTTAGGGAAAAGTATGAGAATGTAAAATTGAGCTGGAAACCATGGAATTGGGAAATTATAGAATTAAATGGTGTAGTCGGATTAATTTATCACTCACCTATGTAAATGTTGATGTTTCACCTGTTTGATAAAATTATTATCTGTTTAAAGATAACTGCTTTGAGCTATCGGTGGAGGATAGTCTTGATTGTTGTAGATACTGTATGTTGATTAGGGAAAACTGAAACTAATCATATCAAATATGTCATTGAATATGACGGTTGGAATAATACATCGAATATGTGTATTGATTTATCATTGTATATGATATGTGTTAAATACATTGTATATGTATATTGTTTGGGAGGAGATAGGGGATGTACTCCATGGTTTGAGAGGAGATAGGGGATGGACTCTCAAACCTGTTTAGGAAGAGATAGGGGATGGACTCCATTGATAACTAAGTTGACTGGAGTGTCTAGGGTGAAAGTCCCGAAATCTTGATTACGTTTGCATAACGTAGATAATTGAAGTATGGAAGTGTTTTAATATGAGTTGTAGGCTCATGTGAATTGTGAATAATGGAAGTGTCTTAATATGAGTTGTAGTCTCTTTTAATTGTTCGGCCAGGTTCTGAGCCATGTTTATGAAATAAAGTTGTATAAGTAAAGGAAAATGAAATGAAACATGGACATATTTGTCATGGAACTAGAATGTGTTATAAGTTAGTTTACAAGTGTTAGCCATTTATCAAATGTTAATGTTTTAGTTATTTCTCATTATTGGTTTAGTATATCTCTATTGGGCATTGGCTCACCCTATATGGGACATCATTTTCAGGTTCAGGTAACATGTCACCTCCAAGGACGTAGCTTGGGAGGCTTGAGGCGGATAGATCTCTTGTTGTTCTCTTTTTGGTATTACATGTAAATTCAAGCCAATGGCTTAATGTATATTTGAGTTAGTACTCTCTTTTTGTTACCAAGTGTTGGCTTGAAAAGTTGTAAGCCCGTAGACATTTACTTTTGTTGTCAACATGTAATACTTTTGTACTTAATACTCTGATGAATGAAAAATATGCTTTATTCTCTTAAGTTTATGGATGTCATAAATGTATGATTTATGGGTTTATTTTGAGGGCGTTACATTATTAAAGAATAATGATTTATCGAAAATGATTGTGTATATTTAAGGTACCTATTGAGATTTTTTGAAAAATTTTTAAATAAAATTTTTAAATTTATTGTATTATTGATAATGCACATTCATGAGTTCTGCTAGAAAAAATATGCAAAAATAATTTGGCTGGAATAAAAATTTTGCGATTATTATGATGTATCGCACAATTAATCTGAACCCTTCGAAAATTGAAATTATTAGGTTATAGAGATTTTGTGCCTAATTCCATTTGAAGACACTATTTATGATTTGAATTTATAATTTTTTATGCATCAATGTGAATAATTTCTACGATCTTACTGATATAAGTATAAATCCTACTTTTGAGTTAATCCACCTTAAGTACTTTTTCGTGTAATATTATCATAAAAAATATTATAATAGATCATAACCAAACATCATTTGAAGCATAATTAAAAATATGATACACCACTTTAGATAGAACAAAAAAAAAAAAAAAGAAATTAGCAAAAAATCTTTTTGATTAATAATCAAAATAATACACCATGAGTTATAACCAAGTCATAATTTGTATATTATAGAATTTTTTGTTGTTTTTATTTTTTATCAGGAAAAAAATATTTTAATACAAGTGAAATTTATGATTTTTGGCAAATTTGATTAACACAAATGAGGATTTGATTTCAGGTTGAACAAATACATTTTTTTTTTCTTTTTTTAAATTTTGAAAGAAATTATTTTTATGAACTTATTTTACATAAGATCACACACAGTGACAACAATTTTCATCAACCATTAACAAATATGTTTGTATTTAACTTTCTAATTGTTAAAATTTTCTACACATAAAATGTTAAGACTCAAAATTAATTGGGTAAATTATACTTACACCTCTTGAGATTTGGATTTAATACATATCACCTCCTATTGTTTGGAAAATTGCACTAACCTCCTATCAGTGTAATTATTTAGATGGAATGAAAATATTGAACTCATGTACTCTATCTTTTCTTACTTTGCTTTACTTCCACTGTTTTTTTTTTTTTTTTTTTTTTCATTTTCTTTGCTAATTTTTTTTTTTAAATGTAATTTTCTGTGTTTTTCTACTAAGAGTTGTTGCCTTTTACATAAGCAGGGGAGTTTGTAAAATGAGATTATTAACCACAGGGGTAGAAATATAATTTTTAGAACGTCAGGAGATGGAATGTAATTGGACCAAATCTCAAGGGGTATCAGTGTAATTTACCCAAATTAATTTTTCATTTTAAAAATAAATTCATGTGAATCGCATGAGTCACCTACTAAGTACTATCAATAATAATAACACTTGCCACTCAATATAATACTACTTAGGAAAAATTAGTAAAACATCACTCTCTAACTTTGTGTAATAGAAAAGATTCAAGATTTTTTTTTATTAACTAAGTTTCTTCAACATTTTCATAGAGAAAATTCGATTTTGAGAAATTTTATCCGACTTAAAAAAATTTTGCCAAACTTAGATAAATTTCGCCCCAACTTAGAATGAGTCAAGTCGGGGCGAAATTTCTCTTAATTAAATTTTCTTTGTAAAAATATTGAGAAACCTTAATTACTATAAAAATATTATGTATCATTTATTTTATAAAATCTTAATATCAGAACCTTAAAAAAAAGTTCTCCTAATACTTAACATTCACTTCCTTTAATAAAAAAAATCACCTCGATAAAAATTACCATAAAATGTGAACCTATTTACAACTCGTGATTATAATTATCTAATGTAAATTTACATAAAATCACTTTAAAAATTGGACTTATTACATTTTTAATCTCTATAATTTGATCCAAATTTTACGTTGATTCTTATTATTTTAAATTAAATTTATCCGTTTACAAGAAAAAAGCAAACACATGTTAGCTTTCTGTTTGTCACTAATCTTTTTAAACTTCTCCATAAATATGTAATTATTTTTTAAAACTAAATCTGATTTGTAATTTTTTTTTTTTTGTACTTTTTTTTTGTCCCAAATAATGTAAATAAAAACAACTAAAAAAAAAAGGCACAAATTCTATGAAAACACAGCCTTAAATTACAATGACAATCCACTAAAAGAGTAAAAATTAAGAAAAAATAGAATAGATTGATTTTCTCCTACTTTCTCATCAACTGAAAAAAAACTATTCATGAAAGACAGTTGAAACCAAAATGATGAGCAGAAAGAAATCCTCTTGGTCGCCAGCGAGATTAAGCGGAAAATCCTAGCCGGAAGCCTCACATTCATGATCTCTTTCGACAAATCGTTTACAACGGAAGGGATTCGGGCTAAAAGCACACCGTCGCTAGACGCACCGACGCAGTATAAGAAAGGAGAGGAGCAGAGAGAGAAAAGAGTGAGATTCATTCATGAGATGGACTTGACAATGACGAGAGAGGAGGTTTCACTACTTTTCACCGGCTACCTGTTATTTTACCTGTTTACATTGAATGGACTAGATTGCATAACACAATCCAACGGCTGAATTTTTTTTAGGTATGGTACCCAAAACCCGCTTTTCGGGACTATAGTCGTTCCCGACTCTTGTAGTACAAATATACTCAACCGTATTACATAACATCTTAATGTCCTTAACAATAGACAGCCAATCCAAGCTTTAGCTGATCCACATGATAATTCATTTATAAGTGCATGAGAGTCTGTGTATATGTTAACAGTTTCGACGTTATGATCCACACACTGTCGAACTGCATCAAGACACGCCTTGGCTTCTGTGGTAGATGCTGATAAAGCGAAGAAGGCTGCAGTGTGTGACACAATCTGATTATCAAATTCATCCAAAGCTACCCAAGCTCCCTCTGCAAGCGAAGTATCCTTCATCCACGAGCCATCAATAATGATCCTGTGTCTGGAGGCTATCTGCAATCCAAAGAGATGCTCAAATTTTTTGTACCAGAAATGGACTATTTTTGGCCATAAATGTAAAGCAATTCTCACATCATCTAAAAGAAGTGAAACACATGAAAATAGTAGAATAGTCTCAACCATTGCTCTCCTGCTATGAATGTCACATTCAGAAAAGGTCTTACTTCCTCATAACTGAAAGATCTTGACCATGGCACTCTATTCTTTCTATCTGCTTGTTGGTTCTGCACACCAGTATTCCCAAATATTGCAGTCCTGTAAAATGCAAACTTGAGTTAGATTTCAATGTTTTGAATAGTGTCAACATTTTGGTTATCTGTTTTCTATCCAAAACTTGATTGATAACCATTTTGTTTTCAATATTTACAAAAATTTTAAAAAGAGAGTAGAGCAGCTATTTATCCCTACCTTTGTTCTTAGAACCCCCACCTCTTTCATTTTTTTTTTAATTCTAATTTTGTCCAAACATGAATTTCCATTTTTATCCTCATCTCTAATCTATTAACTCTAATTTCCCAAACCTCAACCCTAACCCCTCTCAACTCCATCTACCGCCTCCACCTGCCGCCGGCAGCACCAATGCCCTAACCCTTACCCTAATTTCCTTTGCCACTGTCGCCGTCACCTTCTTTTCATCGTCGCCGCCACCTTTTCAACCACCACCATTGCCGGCGCGTCATCTCTGGCCAGCTCCTTATCTTCTTTTTTCTACCACATCTTTCATCTTCTTCTCAAACCCTAGCTGCCTATACATATTATATTTTATATGTATATATATGTGAGAGATAAGAGAGTGAAGATCAAACCATATTCGTCACTGTCGCAAGCTGTGACCTCAAACCCTAGCCACCTCCATTGCCATTGCGATCTGAGATCTCAACCTTAGCTGCCGTTGCGATCTGTGACCTCAAACCCTAGCTGCTATCGTGATCTGTGGCCTCAAACCCTAGTCGCTTCCGTCACCGTCGCAATTTGAGTTGGGATGAGCAGCGACCGACGATAGTGGCTGGGCGATGGTGGGGAGAGAGAAAGAAGGGCTTGCGACGGTGGCTCACGGTGGTGGCTCTGGATTGGGATTGTCCGAAGCTGCTGGGGGTGGTTGATTGTGGGGGTCGCGGTGGAGTTGACTAGAGAGTGCCTCTAGATTGGGGTTGACAAGAGAGCGACGCTGGCAGTGGAGGTTGTGGCTGGAGCTGGCAATGGTTGGGTTGATAAATGGTTAGTCCTAGTTTATAAATAAGGCTTAAAAACATGAACACAAAAACATGTTTCTTATTTTAAAAAACCATTTTTTATTTTATTTATTTATTTTTTTTTTTTTGGGGGGGTTGAATTTTGTGTATTACTGTTCTTGGAGAATCCAATTGGTGTTTAAATTATATAGTGGCATGGAATTTGTGTCCCAAAATGAGTAGAAGCTTTACGATTAAACTATAATTGTGGTTTGTATTTATGTATAACACTATTCCTATGCTTCACTTTGTTATCATTGTTGGCATTTCTTTTAATTAAAATTATGATCAATTAAGTTTCACATGTACTGTAATGGGAAACAAAACCTAATTACGTATGTAACTTTTCAATTGATCTACTGTACTAATATATTTCTATTTTGGATGTTTATTATAATTTTATGATTTGTATGATTTTCATTGTTATAAATACTTAAAAAAACAAAATAAACATTTTTTGCATTAATATTAACAAACATGTTTTTGAGTTTTCATTTTTAAATTTTTAAAAATATTTTGTTCAAACCTTACTTACTTAAATTAAAATATTCTTCTTTTTTATTTATTTATAATTTACTAGCAGTTGTCGAGATAATTACAAAAAGTAATTAAAAAAAGTTAAGAATTTGAACTTCGTTTCAAAATAAATTCTGAATTTTTAATTTTATTAATGTAAATTTTAATATTTTAATTTGTTAAATATTTTAATCTAGTCTATTTTCGTAAATAAAACTGAGAAAAAAAGAATATTTTAATTATTAAACTCAATAAATATATTATATATATATATATATATATATAAATATATAAAATTTTGTCTAAAATATTATATTTTATTTTAAAGACTAAAATATCATTTTTTTCAATTGATTTTACTTAACAGACAAATTATTTATATTGAAAATAAATCAAAAGTCAAGTTTTTAAATTGATAAAATTAAAAACTCAGTGTTTGTTTTATTATAAGGGTGAAACTTTGAGGGTTTTTTTTTTTTTTTTTTTTTTTACTTTAAGACCGAAATAAAGAATCCGCATTAATAAATGCACATGGACTCACTTATGTTAGAATAAGAAAATAAAGTAATATATGGGATTATATGTATGTCCTCCTGTTCCATAATTATCTTGATCCACTGCAATCAAAAAAATTATTAATCACGGTTAAAATAATGTTAGTTTACCTCTTTATAGCTCTTTTGAGTTTTGATGCACAAATTTCTTTTACTATTGGCCTAAATCTACAGGTCTGAATCAATGTTCATCTAGGAACTTGTTGGGATACTGTTTAGAAAATTAAACCATACATATTTGAGTGTTTTTGAAGACCTAGCTGGGATGAATTCTCGTATAGAGGAAATGATTGAATTGCTTGGATTAGGGATGGATGATGCTCATGTGGTCGGGATATGGGGGATGGGTGGAATAGGTAAGACAACTCTGGCAAGTGCTATTGATGCCCATAACTCTTGTCAATTTGAAGGTTGCAGCTTTATTGAAAATGTTAGAGAAGTTCAAAAAAAGGTGGTCTGAAAACTTTGCAAGAACAACTCATTTCCGAAATCTTAATGGAAAAAGATTTAAGAGTAGAAAATGTTGGAAGTGCCTTGAGTACGATAAGGATCAGGGTGTGCCGTAAAAAGGTTCTTATTGTTCTTGATGATGTGGATGAATCAACAGAACTTGAAAATTTGGTAAGAGAGCTTGATTGGTTCAATTTTGGTAGTAGAATCATTATAACAACTCGAAATCAACATACTTACTCAGATATGGCATAGCACATATTTATAAGGTTGAGGAATTAGGAGAAGATGAAGCTATAGAACTCTTTAAATCGAAAGTCTTCAGGAAACACCAACAAATAGGAGGCTATGAAAAACTTGTACATCGTGCAGTAGAGTATGCTAAAGGAGTTCCTTTAGCTCTCAAAGTTTTGGGTTCTTTTCTTTGTGGTCGAAACAAAGATGAATGGGAAAGTACATTAAACAGATTGAAAGAAAGCCCTCTAAATGAAGTTCAACAAGTACTCAGAGTAAGTTATGATGCATTACAATTGGTAGAAAAGGAAATATTCTTAGATATTGCATGTTTCTTCAAAGGGAAAGACAAAAATGATGTAACAAAAATACTAGAAAGTTGTGACTTCCACCCAATTATTGGAATAAAAGTTCTTGTTGAAAAGTCTCTTGTATCTATCTCAAACAATAAGCTCATGATGCATGATTGGATGCAAGAACTAGGGTGGTGGAATATTGTTCGTCAGGAATCACCTAAAGAGCCTAGGCAGAGTAGTAGGTTGTGGCTTCATGAAGATGTAACACATGTGTTGATGGAGAATATGGTAAGAGACCTTATAGGAAAGTATGAACACTCAACTTATTTATTTAACAAAGCTAATTCAGCATAATTTTGTCAGCCTCTTAACATTGTGCTACTGTTATTTTCTTGTGGTTATTAGGGAACCAAAAAGGTTGAAGGCACAGTTACGGAGTATCTTGATCTTCGAAGTCGAGATCCAAAGGACATTAGCCTAAAAGAATTGAAGTTGAGGCCTAAAGCTTCTGCAAAGATGTCGAACTTGAGAATTCTCAAAATATGTTGTATTTACCTCTCAGAAGACCTCAAATATCTTTCTAACAAGCTCAGGTATCTTGATTGGTGCGGATACCCTATGAAATACATGCTTTCAACATTTCAACCAGAGCGTCTTGTTGAACTTCACTTAACATATAGTAGCATTGAACAACTTTGAGAGGGAACAACGGTATGAATATGCAATCTATTTAATTACTCTAACTACGATGCAAAGTCCTTGAAACGATATATTTTCTGCAATTTCTATCTATCTTTTTTTTATTATTATTATTTTTTTTCCATCAACAACATCTAGACATGTTAAGGATCATGAATCTTAGTCACTCGACATATTTAGCCAAGTGCCCAGACTTCACAAAGATTCCAAATCTGGGAAGACTGATTCTTGAAGGCTGTACTGGTTTGGTTAACCTTGATCCATCCATTGAAATTCTTAAGAGTCTTATTTTCTTGAATTTGAAGGACTGCAAAAATCTCATGAGTCTTCCAAGTGGCATTCAATTGGAATCTGTTGAAGTTCTTAATGTCTCTGGGTGCTCAAAGCTTAAAAACATTTCAGTCAACTTTGGATATTAAATGTTTATCTGAGCTTTATTTAGATGGGATTGGTGTAAGTGAACTTCCACCTTCAATTGGACATCTTACCAATCTTGTTTTGTTGAGTTTGAGCAATTGTAAGTATTCCGGACAACATTTGTCAGTTGAAAGCTCTTACAAGTCTAAATCTCTCTGGGTGCTCCAAACTTGACAAACTGCCGCAAGACATGGGTGTTCTGGACTGTTTAAAGGAGCTTCATGCAGATTGCACTGCAATTAGACAACTCCCTCCCTCCATTAGACTTCTGAAGAAACTTGAAACATTATCCTTGGGAGGGTGTAAAGGAATAGCACCTTATTCATGGAGTTACTCCCTCTTGCCTTCAATTTTACAAAGACGGAGAGAGAGTTACACAACTTTGAAACTAGAAGCTTTGTTAGGGTTGGAGTCTTTGAAACAACTATATCTCAATGACTGTAATTTAAAATCTATCCCCGTAACTATTTGCCACATCTACTCATTGCAAGTTTTAGATCTAAGTAGAAACAATATTGAAAGTTTACCTGCAAACATGAATAAACCTTCTAATCTGGGGTTCCTGCGTTTGGATGGTTGCAACAGGCTTCAAGAACTGCCAGAGCTTTCATCAAATATACGTAATATAGAAGCTAATGACTGCACATCATTAATAACAATATTGAGTCTGTCCAAATACGATAATGTTGAAGCGTTTTCCTTCATGAATTGCTTCAAACTTGTTGAGAATGAGCAAAACAACATCCTGTCAGAAAAATTTCTTTCAAATCAATTTCAGGTTGTGTGTGTGTGTGTGTGTGTGTGTGTGTGTTTGTAAGCATTGTGACCAATTTCTATTGTACAGAGATATTTTGAATGGCAATGGCAATACACTACTCATATTCGTTTCCCCGGGAGTGAGATGCCAAAGTGGTTCGGTCATCAAAGTAAGGGGTGTTCAGTATCGTTTGAGTTGCCTCCACATTGGTATAATGACAGGTTCTTTGGAATTGTTTTTGCTGTTGTTGGAATCAAGAATAAATCCAAGTGCTGCAAGTGTTATTATTCTATTGAGGTTGGGTTTAAGCGCCTTGGTATTCAAATTATCATCGGACAAAGCCATAAAAATACGCTAGCATATTTTCAATATTTGAATCATAAAAATTTGGACGTTATATATGTCCCACTTAATGACTTTCCAATTTTAATGGATGATGATGATATGGAGCAATTAAATGAGGGTGGAATTGAATTTCAAGCTTGTTTAGTTCGAGGCAGTCATGACTTTGATTGTTTAACTAAAGTAGTTGACGAGGATTTTTCATTAATTGAAGGAGATGTAAAGTTGGGTATTTAGTATACGTAAAAGAAGATGATGAAGAAGCATGGAGTATAGACAGCTCTGATTTGGACGATAACATGGGTGTGTTCCATGGAGACTTGGAAAGGTCAGTAGAAGGAGCAGGAGTAGAAGTTGCTAGTTCTAGTGCTACTACATCAAAGAGAAGACACGATGACCTCAATGACAACCACGACTATGATGCAGCAGCAGCAACAGGACCTAGTGGCGGATTTGATGATTAGGACGATGAGGAGGACCACCCCCACATCAAAACCAAGTGGAAGTGGCAGCTCTGACTAGGTAGTACCTTGAACTCAGTTTGCAAATGTCTCCAAGTGAGGGAAAATTAGAATAAACACAACACATTTATTTAGGAAAATTTTCAAATGGGTTGAATTGATCTAATTTCAAACAAACCGTCCAAATTTTTAACAAAATGATAATAAATTATAGTTATGGTCCTTAGAGAATGTGCTACCTATTAGTTTTCTTCGTAAAGTTTGTGATTTTGCTCTATTGGTCACTCAACATATATGAAGAAGACAAAACATAGTCTTACCTTGTTGAGGGATGAAATTGAAAATTTAGGAGCTAAAGTAACACAAAATGCATACTTTAGGGACTAATATGTGTTTTATTATTATTAGGTTAATGATTTAGACAATCTTTAATGTTTTAGAATTAGTTAAATGGCCTTGTCGGGTATAGAATATCAATGAGGCCGCTGGTGAGTTCTGGTCTCACAATGGAACCTGGCATCTTTGTGGACATGTGGAGATTTAAGTACACAATAAATTCGCTTCTTGATTGGTAATGGCACAGGACCCAGGGTCTTTGCACTGGTAGTCCTTGCAGCATCCGTAATTTGCTTGCATGAATCCTCTATCAATTGCACCCAATACGACCTAAGTTTAATCCTAATTTTCTGCTTTGGTGCCATCTGAGAATTGGCAAAAAAATAATAAGACGACCGGAATGTCACTAAAACTACTGAATATTAAGAAAAAATATAAGATATATCTAGTCGAAAATTCAGTTTCATTTAGTCTTGAACGATTTACATAGACTTCCAAGATATTTGACTAAACAGATTGCCATCAAAAGCTTAAATTAAACAATTGACACTTATCCAATGCAAGACTATTTTAATGACTAGTTATTCTTTTTCAAAAGATTATTATGTTGGGTTTGTGGAGCCTAATTAGTATTGTACACCTCACCATGAAGTTGTGAATCCAACTTGGCAGTGAGTTGGCGGAGGGGTAGCAGGCGGCAGCCAGCCCGAAGGTGGGAGTTTGGGGGCTGTGAACCCTAACATATACATTGTTGTTTAAACAAGCAGCCAATTTGTACTCTTTTCTTTTCTTTTTTGAATATAGTGAAACTAGTGTGAGCCAATCTTGCCAAACAGCGTATCTCTATATGTCATGCTTTTTTTATTTGTAATTGATTCTTCTTGCTATTGTGTATTTGGTTAATTCCTCAACAAATCACCATTCTTCTATTCTTTCTTATCAAATGTAAAAACATATGTAATCTATTTTTCATAAAATTTGAGAGACAAATGTCATTTGGAGCAAGAATCACAGTCCCAATGCAAATGGTTGTGGAGCTTATACCACCCAAATGGTTATTTTGGGCTCTATTTCTACATACAAACATAATGTCCTTTCTTCCCTTCAATTTTTCTCAGCAACCAAACAGAGCATAAACGGTGAAAAGATTACCTTCTTAGCATCGGCCCCAATACTGAGCGGCGACGAACCAGGATCCACCGATCCTCCAACCTAAACATCCCCAAATTAACATGAATCTCCCAAATTCAGAGAAACATAGAGTATTTCATGACACAAAATTAGAAGAATTACAAACCTCAGTCGTAGCAGAGTCAGGACCATCTAGGGTTTCTTGGGAATCCAAAACTTCAGGTGCAGCAAAAACCCTAATAGTAGATGATCGAGAGGGTTTTAGGCCTTTTAGCGGCGTATAAGTTGAGGGCAAAGAGAGAAGAGAAAGCTTGGGCTTGACAGCAATGGCGGAGAAAATGGATGATGATGATGATGGGAATGGTGGACGAATTGTAGCAGAAAGTGATGAAACAAAACAGCCATTGATTCTCTCTCTTACAACCCGACCAGGCTGTGCTTGCTTGCTCTGGTGTGCAACGGTTTCGCAGTGTTATCCATATGTAAAATTTCTTTTTACCCTATTTCAATAATTTTTAAAAAAACAATTTATTCGGACCAAAAATAATATTTAGATAAATTATAAAATTAAAAAAAAAAACATATCGACAGTCTCACAAATTTAATAGAATGCATTAGATTCTTTTTTTAAAAATTTTAATTTATATAGTAATACTTTGTTCTATTTTTATTACTAATTTATTAATCGTGTATATGAAATTAATGTTGTTATCTAATTTATATTTTCACTCTTATACTTACAGACCCTATGAATTATTTTTGTTTAATTTTAATCTTACTAAAATAGAAGTTGTGTAATAATGCCAAACGCTTGGTGTTTTTATTTTTTTTTTCTAAATTTAAGAGTGGTTAATGTAGTTTATAAAAAATAAAAAAATAAATTGAATATTATTAATGTTTTGTTAGGTCTAGAAAATATTTTTTTTAACAAAAATGCTACATACTCTAAATTTTTTATCAAATACTCACACAAGTATAATATGTCTCACACTCATATAAGTGTTTGGTAGAAAACTTTATATCACCAGCATTGCTTTTTTTTTTTTTAATGTAAGTGTTTGGTAGAAAACTTTATATCACTAGCATTGCTTTTTTTTTTTATGGCCGTGATTTGATTGGCATGTCCCACAAAGGGTGTGTTTGATTGGACGGACTGGAAAAGATGGGATTAGAATCCATCGGACTTGAGTCCTGGGACTGTGAATCCCCCGGACTATTTAGTCGGATTGGATATGTATCCTGTGTTTGTTTTTTCATGGAATTAGATGTCTGGATAGGACTATTTTCAGTGAATCAAATGTTTGTTTTTTCATGGGATTAGATGACTGGATAGAATAAATGAACAAAAGACTATTTTATCCTTTTTCAAGTGTTTACTAAATAACAATATTAAATCTGTCTTTAAATGTAATCTTTATTTATAATTGATTAGTGGACCACAATTAATTATTTAATTTTTTCAATGTTTTTTTTTTAGAACCATTGTTTTTTTTTCAAAGTTTGAAACATATATTTTTCCAATATTTATATTTTTTAATGGTCACATTTTTTAAATATAAATAAGACCATGTCCCTTCTAATTTTTATCCAACACAAAAAAATTATTTCTCCAACACAACACACCAGCACTTCATGGTCTTATATCCAACACAACAGCACTCCATAAATGAACAAAAATTATATACTCCACCACTCCATAAATGTCCAACATAACACACCAACAATGTATAAATGAACAAAAATTTGAAAGCTAGGGTTTCGGAGCAGATGGGGGAGATTCGGAGTGTGGTGGAGATGGCTCAATTGGAAGTGGAGAAGAAACATGATGAGGTTGTATGAAAGTAAAATTTTACTCTGTATGAAAGTAAAATTTTACTCTGTATGATCTGTGCTCTCACAATTACAGAGGACACAAAATATATATTATGAGGGCAAAATGGTCATCTCACCCCTCTAATCCAAACAGTGAATAATCCTACCAAAATTATCCCACCCCCCCGGACAGTGGAATCCCCCATATGGGGGATAAGGAGTCCGGCGGACTAAAAAAAAATCAAACGGCGGATAAGGAGCACTATTTGGATTACAATCCAAATAGTGGATAGTCCCCCCTTAATCCGGCGAATCAAACACGCCCAAAATATCTTCTAGCCAAAACAAGTATTTTTTTTCATATTTGATTTTTGTCATAAAAATATTTAAAAATATGTCTTTTGCTTAAATAAATAAAATGTATCTAAAATTCAAGAAGAAAAATCTCACTAGATTCAATGCAGAACTAAAATTTCAAACATGTATATAAGAATTTGGACAAATTTCATCTACAGTTCTATAATTTGTTTATTATGTTAATTTAATTTTTCTAATTGGTATAACTTCAATTTTGTTTTTAAAATTTTCATGATATGTTAGTTTAGTTCAATTGATAAATTCTGTTCAGAAATTAGATTGAAATAAATAGGCAGCATATTTCATTCACTCTTTTCAAACTGAATAACGGCGTGACATCCAATTTGAAATCATTCATTCTCTTTTAAATGCATCATTTTACTCTTAGTTTTTGTCCTTTTTTTTTTTAACGCGATATTATCACATGGTTTAAATTTATAAATTGTAAAAGATTAAAAGTAAAATTGACACAAATTACAAGAATGATGATATAATTTGCCCAAGAATATAGTGAACATTAAAACCTAACGAATAAGACACCGAATAAATCTCGTGTTCTTATAGAGAGAGATTCACGAGAGCAAAGGTAAATCCATACAGATGTGAATGTAATTACAAAACATTTTGAGAGTAATATGATTTTGAGAGTTATGCAAAAAATCAAAATGATTGAACACCAATAGCTATATGTTTGAATCATTTTTGTTTTGAAAAAATGGACCGCAAATATGATTTCAAGAATAACCACCTATTTTTTATAATACAAATTTGGTCAAACATATATCTACCGACGTACGATTATTTTGATTTTTTGCATGAATATTTTACTCAACGAGTACTAAAAAGTGATGGTTCGATTCATCGAAATGGGATCTGTAGTGGGCTCCACAAGCCATTTAAATTCTCTTATGTTAACAAGTTAACATGAGAGAAGCTTAATCCATATAAAACTATATATCTATCTATGCTATTATAAAACAACAGTTACGGTGGTATAGACAAAGCCGACGCTATAACTGCTTAGACAATGACAAATTAGGATTCGAATTTTGAGAGACAAATATACATATAACTTCTCATTTTTTAAAATTATTTTACTATATTATTAATATAATATACACAGGTGTGACCACCCCTAGATCCATCCATGTGCTTAGAACAATTTTTAAACTTATTTAACTGCTTCAATTCATAACTTCTCACCCTTGGATTAATACTTAGGCCAAGTTTGACATGTCTAGGAAAAGTCAAAAAGTTAAAAAGTTACTCCAAAAGTTAAAAAGTTAACACTATTCACCAAAAGTCAACAATTACGGCTGCACAACTCCCAATCCTAATTTTCTTCTACAAACTAATTTTTACAATTTTTTATTACACATTTTTCCATAAAAAGTCAAAAAGTTAACCCAAACATCTATATTTTCTTTCTTATTTTTTTAGTCCAAAAAGACAAAAGGTGCACTTATTTAGGACACCCCAAACAACCTCTTAATGAATTTCTACTCACTATTTCATTGTAACCCACTTACTACTCAATAAACTTCCGCTTCCTATTTTATGAAACTCTATACCTTCTACTCAAATAAACTCTCTTTACTACTTCACAATACTTGACTTAATTGCTACTTACTAATTAATGAATTTTCACTTATTACTTCATTATATTTTAGATGTTACTCAATCAAACTTTACTTACTACTTAATTGAAATGACTTACTAATCAACAAGGCACCACTTCAATATACTTAAGTTACTAGTCAATGAAATTATACTTACTATTCCATTAACCTTGACTTAAAATTTTAAAACTCCACTTTTTCTTTAACTAAATGAAATGATTTTCCAACAAAATCTTAAAATTTATAAATTAAAAATATCACATAATGCTAAAATAAAAGAGAGATAGAAACATAAATAAATTATTACCTAAAAATTGTCTTCAATTTGTAAAATCTAAATCACTATATTTCACTTATTCTTTGTGAATAATATGAAAAAAAAAAAAACACAATCTTATTCATTATGTATGCAAATGAGCTAAGAGTTATTCTATATTTTTCTAATTAATTATATTCTTATATAACAACTAATGTTTTCAAGTGTAGTAGGTAAAAGAAAAAAAATTATTGTACATATATTCATTTATTACCATTAATAAATATTAACAAATGAGTGTTCTTTCTAAGTTTTTTTATTCAATTTTATTTTCAATTTACGCTTCACAATATTTTAGATATTAAAAAGTATTATGAAGGAAAAAATATTTCATTATGGATATTAAATTGATAAAAAAAATTACGAATTTATGAAAGTTTCTAAAAGATTTTTTTTTTTTTAGGTGATGTGGTATTAAAAAAAAGTAACTATTTTAAATTAATTTTTTTTTTAAAAAAAGTTTGAATAACTTACAATTTAAAAACATTTTGTTTATAAATTTTTTTTCTTTTTTATTTATTTTTAATATTATATCGAAAATTAATTTTTCACAATAATGACAATTTTAAAAAATAATTAAATTTTAACAAATTAATATTTACATATCATATTTTACTTTTTACAAATCATAACAAGACAAAATATGAAGAAAAAATAGTTAAATATGGTGTGTTATTAGTTTTATATATTTAAAATTAATTTAAAATGCAAAAGAAGGCATCATTTTCAATAAATGAAGATGACTTGTTTAGCAGGTAATATTTTAAATTTTTTTTTTGTAAATTTTAACTTCCCAAATCATAATTATTTCTCACCTCACCTCACCTCACCTCACCTCACCTCAGGACATGATCAAGTCTTACATTGTGTTTAGTTAAAAAATTTAGAAATAATTTTAAAAATAAAAATAAAAAAAATATGTAAAATTAAGTAAAATATAAATATATTTTATTCTCATTTTATATATATTTTTTATTTTTCTTTTGAAATTTCTTTTTAAATTATCAACCGCACAATAGTTTTACTATCTCCTCATCCAATGACTAGCGTTCATCCTATTTAAATTCAATAACTCATATTTTTTTTATGTACAATCCATGAAAACTACTTTTATATTGGATAGAATTTTCCGACAAGAGTCCCAAGGAATGTTGTCGGTGTAGCACATGGAAAAGAAAAAGCTGCTCTTAGATGATGCAGCAAATTTTGTGTTGTACCTGCAGCTATATATATATATATATATATAATGGTTTACACAGGCCCAAGCACGAGTCATTGTTAGAGCATCTTTAAGTTTTATATTTTAATGATTTTAAAAAAAAATTAAATATTATTCTATAAAATTGAATAGAATAAATCATTAGATATATG